AAACAAACCAAGCAAACCTTGGTGGAATAAAAAGTGTAAAGAAATAATAAAACAAAGAAATAAAGCCTTTAACAGATGGAGGAAAAACCCAAATGACATAAATAGATATGAATTCAAAAAACTTCAAACTAAAGCGAGAACCATAATTGAAACAGAAAAAAAGAATAGTTGGGAAAACTTTTGTTCGTCTCTGGATTTTAACACTCCATCCAGAAAAATTTGGAAATTTATTAAAAAACTAGATGGTAAAAACAGAACAAACACTTATCCACTAATTGTTAACAACCTTCCTATACAAGACACAGAACAAAAGCTAGAAGTCCTAAAAGGAGAATTCCAAAAATCAACAAACAAAAAAACAAAAAGATTGCTAACAAAAACTGAAATTAAGAACCTGACAGAAAAAACAAAAACTGAAGGAATAAGCAAAAATCTAACTCTAAAAGAATTAATTTCAGTAATAAAAAAATCAAAAAACAGAAAAGCTTATGGTCCTGATGAAATTCCATATGAATTCTTTAAGTATTGTCCCCAAAATATGTTGGTAAAAATCTTATCAATACTCAATATTTACTGGTTAAAAGGAGAATACCCTAAAGAACTAAAAAAATCATTAGTAAATCCAATTACAAAACCAGGTAAAGACCCTTCAGATAAGACGTCATATAGATATATAAGCAGAATATCATGCTTAGGAAAAATATTTGAAAGCCTAATAACTAATAGACTGAACTGGTGGTTGGAGATCAACAATAAATTAAATGAAGATCTAAAAGGTTTTAGACCAAACAGCTCAACGTTAGATGCCTTACAATTTATAGATTATCAAATCAACAAAGCTTATGAAGAAAAAAAATATGCCTTAATAGCTTGTTTAGATCTTGAAAAAGCTTTTGATTCAACAAACCATGATGCAATAGTAGCAAAAGCAGCAAAATTAGGTATTACAGGTGCCCCACTCAAGTGGATCATAGAATTTTTAAAAAACAGAACATACCAACTAGTTATAGGTAACAAAAAATCTACGGAAGAAAACACAGAACGAGGCCTACCACAAGGCTCTCCCTTAAGCCCATTATTGTTTAACATAATGTTATCAGATTTAACCCTTACAAACGAATTAAAAAAAGTAATATATGCAGATGATATAACAATAATATCCATAAATAATAGTCTAGAAGAGGCTAAAAACAAATTAGAACTAGGAGTAAAACAGATAATAGAATGGGCAAATAAATGGGAACTGTCAATAAATTTAACAAAAAGTAAACTTATGTGCTTTACAAAAAAAAGAATACGACAAATACCAATAATTCAAATAGACAACAAACCACTCACTTTTACAACTAATCACACAATTCTAGGTTTAGAATTTGATGCCCCAAGATTAACTTGGAAAAATCAAATTAACAATCTAAAGATAAATTGCTCTAAAAGAATAAACATAATGAAAAAATTATCATCAACAAAATGGGGAGCAAACAGAGAAACAATAATAAAATTTTATGACATTTATATAAAACCTAAAATAGAATATGGTATCACTATCTTCGGAACAGCCAAAAATGCAGAAATGAAAAAAATAGAAATTATACAAAATAATGCACTTAGAATTGCTACAGGCTGCTTAAAAACCACCCCAATCGTAGCTTTATACTCACTCACAAACAAAATGCCCATCAAATATAAACAAAAAGAATTGGAATGTATGCAAATGATGAAAATATTAGAAAAACAAGAGAATAATCAAATTAAGGAAAATGTAACAGCAAATATTGAAACATATAATCCTGAAAAAGGTAAGAGAGGTATAATACAAAGAGTAATAGAAACTTGCAAAGAATTAAATATAACAATAAAAACAAAAACAATATCAAACATAACTCCCATTCCACCTTGGTTAGATATTACAAAAAACATAGAAACCAACTTCTTAGATGAGCCAACAAAAAACATCCCCGAACAAATAATAAAGACTCAATTTATAAAGTTGGAAAACACAAGATATTTAAATCATAAAAAAATATTCACTGATGGATCAAAATTAAGCACAAATTCAACGTCAGCGGCCATATATATCGAAGAAAAAAAGATTACAACAATATGGAAATTACCAGACAAAACAGAAATAATTGAGGCTGAACTTTTTGCCATAAAACAAGGAATCAAATATATCCAGAATAATAGATTAAGAACAACAGTAATATTTTCAGACTCAAAATCAGCTTTACAGCTGATATCAAACCCAAAACCTAAAAATTATAAACACACCATATTTGAAATACAGACACTGATATATACACTAATATGTCAAAATCAAACATTAAGTATACAATGGATACCTTCACATAAAAACATAAGAGGTAACGAAATAGTTGATCAAGCGGCAAAACATGCTCATAACATATTAAACCCCACAACCATACATGAGGACAGAAGAAAAAAGATAAAACAAATAAGAATAGAATATCTTAAAAAATGGAAAACACAAATAAACACAATCCTAAATACAAAAAATTACTTTCTAAAAAACACTGAAATACAACCATGGTCAAGATCAAAAAACAGAAAACTCGATGTGTGTATAACCAGACTCAAAACGACACACACAAGATTAAACCAACATCTACATAAAGTAAAAATAATAAATGACCCAACATGTAGATGGTGTCATCATCAAGAAGAAAACATACAACATCTCATACTACAATGTCCAGGATTTCACTCTTACAGAACAGACCTGATGGAAGCTTTAAAAAGAATCAAAATAAACAATCCTAATATAGACTTATTACTTACAGGTGCTGATCTTCCACCAATAAAGAAGTACTACATTTTAAGACACACAAAAATATTCCTAAAGAAAACGAAACTAATAGATATAATATAAAAGAAAAAAAAAAAAAAAAGAAGAAAGAAGAAAGAAAAAAGATCCAGGGGATATAGACTAGAAACTAGTCTAAAACCCTATAAAAGAAGAAAGAAGAAGAAGAAGAATTTCGGTTGAGTTTTCTGTGCTAATTCACTTGTAGTGTTGTGTGTATTGTTGTGTGGATACCAAATAGATTAAACGGTCAATATGCAGTATAAGGTAGTGGCAGAGTTGGGTAATAAGACCTACATGAAATAATAGAGCAATACAAACCAAGACAAAGTTCGGTCAATATGTAGAAGAGGGTAGTGGGTTACTTTCGAAACAATTTTGATATTTTTCTGTATGAAATCCCCTGCTTTTAACGATTCTAGGCGGTGTTCCTTGTGCAAATGAATCGTTGAGGAGATATGATCACCATCTCCATCGACTATCTTGATTTGATAGTCCCGATAGCTGGGGAGGGCATGAAGTACATCAGGGAAATTATGGGGTAAAACAGGACCCCGTGGTTGTTAAACAAAACGTCCTAACCCAACATCCAACCTTACCTAACACTATGGTACATATTCCTTAGCAAGGGGGCTCTGCCCCCTGGACCCCTTGGTAATATATATGCCTAGCCAGGGGGCTATGCCCCCTGGACCCCCATGGCAGTATGTGCGTCTAGAATTGACCCACGCAATGTAAACAAGATGAGCAACTTAGCCAAAATTGGGGTTATTCTCTTTTATTTTACGTGTAGCACCCTTGGGAAGCATTTGCACACATATTGCCATAGAAGAAATTTGTCTTGGTTTGTATTGTTCTATCATTTCATGTTGGTTTTATTACCCAACTCTGCCACTACCTTATACTACATATTGTCTGATTGAACTTACATAAGAGATAGGACAAACTGGTGTAATATTATGATATTTTGATAGAAAATATAAGGTTGTAAATAGGCTTAAATTGTTGTCAAAATGAAAAAAAAATGGGTCACATTATTAATTTCCCATGTGTTTATAAAGATATTTAAGTTTATCATGTATTAAACATGCACACACGCACACTCGCACACACTTACTCACTTACTCACTTACTCACTTACTCACTCACTCACTCACTCACTCACTCACTCACTCACTCACTCACTCACTCTCTCACTCTCTCACTCTCTCTCTCTCTCTCTCTCTCTCTCTCTCTCTCTCTCTCTCTCTCTCTCTCTCTCTCTCTCTCTCTCTCTCTCTCTCTCTCTCTCTCTTTCTTTCTCTCTCTCTCACACACATGCACACGCACACGCACACGCACACGCACACGCACACGTACACACACACACACACACACACACACACACACACACACACACACACACACTGTGGCTTGAATATAGCCAGAGTTAAACTTAATTTTTAGCTAGTGAAGTCAACTCTTCTGTTATTGAAAGTTTAATCTGAAAATATGTTTTGTGAAACTGCAGAAAAAATCCACAAATGACACTGGTAAATTATGTTAATATTAGACCAGCAATGACTTCTGCAATTCAGAGAAGGTCCCACCCACCTCATCAAGATTGATATATTACTTTCCTCTGTTGCAGATCCTGTGTTTGTTTTAACAGGAACTAGACTCCTATACATATTAAATTCCCCCAGGAGAGATATATTACATGCATTGAAGGACAAGTTACTTCCATTTTTAGTTTTTTGGAATAAGAATATAATTTGTTCTTCTGGCTCATCACATCACATAATACTGTGGCCTGACTGCTCCAGACCTTGCTAACCCAGCTTTGACCACAGTGTTGTTTAAAAGACCTATAGATTATTAATCTTAAGCAAGGTATCTACAATGCCTTGTAAAGCCCAAAAGGCTTATATCCATAGCAGGTCCAGTACCATACTTTAGCATCTATGGAATTTGTAGCTGCCCTAAGGTACCTTTCTCTCTATTGTAAAACCTTCAGAAAAACACTGTACTTCACAATTATACTTCTTGAAAGATTTTTCTTCCTTTGAACAAAATATTTTCACCATAGTGTTGTGTTGGGAATATCTTCACACAGTATTCTTGAAGCATACAGCTCTCAGTCTGCAATGTAGGCCTAAGGCACTTTTTATTAGATGAGTGGGTCATTGCATTGTTTCAAAGTTAATAATGTTGATATGTCAGATAACTTTAGTGATTACATAATTATGCATTCATAGTTTTCAAATAACATATTATCCCCCCCCCAAAAAAAAAAAAAATACAGAAAGACAAACAGCAATGTGGGACACTGTGTAGTACATTTGTTGAATAAGTGTCTAGTTTTGCTGCATATGAAAGCTATGATGCACTTCACAGTAAAGTTTTCAAATGCTTATTAATGCTGATGAGATACGATTGGATGTTGGAAGCAGATGTATATGCTTACAAACAGATACAAGAGAAGAATGATATTTTATTAATATGCATATGTGTGTTTGTACCTGCATTACTTATCAAATGTTATATTTTGTGTCAGTTTTGTATCACAAGTGAGTTACTTTATGTTTCTAATTTTCAGATCTTGAGGACTGAATTCAGAGAGGATGGATAAACCAGTTCACTTAGCCTGTGTAACGAGTCAAGGGCCATGTGATTTGCAGCACTGCCTCATACCCATACAGCTCCTCAAGGAGATCAAAGGAAGTGTTGGATCTTATGTTCATATCCAGCTTTCCAAGGAATTCTCTTTGGTGTGTCGTGCAGTTCCTGTTTCAGAGGCTTACTGTGAAATGGGCTACCAGCTCATTGCTTGTGACTGTGTTTCTCATAAGTCTCGTGACTGTGATATGATGTCTCCTCTTGAAAGCTACACATTGCAAGCATCTGACATTATCCCGCTGAAAACTGTAAAACTGAAGTCCATTTCAGTTACAGTCATCTTAAGGACAGTAGAAGATGTGCTGAAATATAGAAAAAATAACAATGGATACAAATTTTTCATCCTAGACCTGATGCGTCTCTATGGTATAATGAAAGGGAATCAGATAAAATGTACAAGCAACCCATTAGCAAAGCTATTAGGTATCTCTCGAGTTATAGTAGAAGAGTGTTCACTCTCAGCTCATGAAGTGGGGACTGTGGCCTCAGATACAGATGTGGATATTATTGGAATTGAGAGCGAGGACAGGAGAAGTAGCACCATCCATGATCAGGTGGCACTGGGTGGTATGGACAAAGTTCTCAAGTATTTGCGCAGGTTGATGGTTGAGCCATGGGTGAGGAAAGAAGAATTTGCCAAAGCTGGCGTCCATTATCCTTCAGGTGAATTTTGTGTATTTCGTGTACCGTCTCATTAGCACTGCATTGTAACAGTATATCAATATTTGATTTCATGATAAACTGATCAACTACTTCAGTTTTGTTTTTTGGTGATTGGAAGAGACTTTGAGCTATGGAATTAAAGACTACTGAGTATTACTCTTCCACCCAGGAGTGTTGTTAATTGGCCCTCCAGGATGTGGCAAAACATCCTTGGTACGTCAGCTCTGTGCAGAAACAGGAACGTGTCTGGTTGCAACAGCTGGAGCAGAGCTAGTCAGCCCGTATGAAGGAGAAAGCGAAAATAACTTTATAAAAGTAAACACCAGCATCAAGATTTTTATTCCTATTATTCATAGGATGATATGAAATATATATTCTAATTTAGCACACTAGGACTTATTTGCTCAACACTTTAGGCCAATTTCAGGTGGCACAGCGTGCTCAGTCCTTGAGTGAAGAAGGTCCATGTCTGTTCTTCATAGATGAAATTGATTCTTTGTGCCCAATGAGAACAAAAGAGTCAAGTCTCCATCAGCTCCGACTTACAGCACAGGTTAAGAATATTTGATTTGTTACTTCTTTTTATTGATTTGTTTTGAATAGGCAAAATACACAGCCATGCTGAAAGAAATTAGTATAATAGACTTGTTGTTTTAGTGATTAGAAAAATATATATATCAGTGTAATTCAGTTTAGCTGGACTTTGTGGTTATACTATTATGACTGGCACTTCATTTTCCAGGTATTGTTGACATTAGACAAATGTCGATTGTGTTCAAATTTAATGATCATGGCTGCTACTAATCGACCCTTTGATCTCGATCCATCTTTAAGAAGATCTGGTCGTTTTGAAACTGAGGTAAGTTTGTTTTTTTTTTGGTTTACCATCCTTCAGTCTCTTCTTTGACCTTTTTCTCCCTATTGTTTTCTTTTTCTGTAATTCTTTTCTGTAATTTTTTTTCTTCCTGGAATTTTTTTTCTTCTTTTACTTCTTCCTCTTCTTATTTCCTTTTTTTAAAGGCTTCCACTTATGTCTTACAGATTATAAACAAGAAAATAATAATTATAATATGATTTATCTGGAAAACCTTAACCACTTTTTTTTCCTTTCTTCCAAGATTCTACTGAATGTTCCCTCAGCAAATGATAGGGAGAGCATCCTAGCTGTACACAGTGCCAACCTACTACCTGCTGGCTGTGGTGGTTTGGCCAAGGTGGCTCATGCAACACCGGGCTTTGTAGGTGCCGACCTGCGAGCACTGGTGGATATAACAAGGGCAAAAATAGGAGAGGTTGGATACTTGATAACAGTTCCTCCAGATATGTCTTTGAAGCACTGATCTACTATCTGTATATTTTAAAGTCATTCTTCTGCTTTCTAAGATTTGGCACCTCTTTCTGCAGGAGTCTGTAAATGCTGATGCAGTAACTGACATAATGCTTGAATGTGCAGAAAGAATTACACCCAGCATTCATAAAACACTGAGTTTCATAACTGCAAAACCAGCAGCATCCCCTATTGGAGGATTGCAAGAGGTAAAGGAGAAACTTCAGAGGATATTCACTCATCACACAGAGTTTGCAGAAGCCTACAAGAAACTGAAGCTGAAGAGGCCCAGAGGTAGATGATGACTGGTATTTATGACTGTCATTAGATCAAATTTAATAGGAATAAGTGGATATTCTACCATTAGAATAGGAATTTTAGATGTTTCATCTTCTGTCAAACTTTTAGAGTGTTCTCTTTCTCACCAGTAATATTATTATTTATTTATCCAGTTGATGCACAGGGTAAGATGTCTTATGCAAAATACAAAATCTACTTGCAAAGAGAAAAATTACACCCAATTAACAGAATTCTTTTCACAGGAGTGCTTCTGTATGGCCCAAGAGGATGTGGCAAAACACGCCTTGTTGCCTCGCTAGCCTCGTCAAGGGGCTGCACCTTCATCACAGCAAATGCATCTCACCTTCTCTCCCCCTTCGTTGGGGACTCTGAGAAGCGTATTGCTGCGCTCTTCTATGCTGCCCGCCTTGCCCAGCCTACCATACTTTTCATTGATGAAATTGGTGAGTGATTTCAAAGGAGGCAAGGAATAGGATGAGCTCATGTGGCATATGTACTGAATCGGTGTCCATATTAGATAGACTTTAAAATATTTATGATATCTATGTTATTATGAATGTCATTATAATTGTTGTAATATTACTACTAGATTATTGTTAGGTTTTTGTATATTTTTATGATCATTAGAAAGTATCATGATTAACTTTTGTTTATTTATTTATTTATTTTTTTATGCTTTTCAGATGGAATCTTTGGCTCCAGAGAGAAGAATGACAGTAGTGTTCATATCAGCATTTTGAATGAATTACTGCAGTCAATGGATGGAGCAGATGTACAGGCCACAAGTCTCCAAGGGGCCTCCCAGTTAACAAACAGCTGTACGAGTGATCAGGTGTGTGCATGTGTTAGCAGATTTAATATCAACTTTGAGGATTGGACATACCAACGTCAGTAAAAATAGATAAGACATATTAGTGTTTTAACCAGACATATTAACCCATTCGCCCCACGTGGCAAGAATAGATGCCATGCCCACTTTGATGCACATTTATTTATTGTATTTACACATAGATGGCTCCACAAGTTCTTAATCACCAAATAGCCAGTTTATCGAAACTACCTTTTTCACCTGTTTACCCTTTTCCTTCACTTTAGGAAAGTTTTTTTTGTATCATTTAATTGTCTAAAATATTCTAATGACAATTTAATAATCACAACATCAATAAAAATAATAACAGTATCGATAGCAATGGTATTAATTTTCCCGCCAATTCAATGAATGGGAAAATCAGGGTCGGTAACTAGGTCCTACTGATAGACTCCTTGCCAGCTGAGAACATGTGGAGCCATCTATAGGTAACAAAATTCATCAAAAACTACAGGGGACAGAACATAAATCCGGCGCAAATGGGTTAAGAAAATATCTGTGAGACCATGAGAACTACACTTCAGTATTAAATATCTGACTCTGTTTGTGTATGTGTTTGTTTGTTTTTTTATTTATTATAAATCACTGTGACTTATCCATTCTGAAGTCACATGCTTGTATTCTTCAGGACGGAGTGTTGGTGTGTGCTGCAACCAACAACCCAGGAAGCCTTGACCCAGCACTTTTGCGTCCTGGGAGATTTGACCGCCTGGTTTACGTCCCGCCACCAGACCGTGCGGCCCGCTATGACATTTTAAGAGTGAGTATTTAGGTTTTGATTTTCACTTGTTGAGAGAAACATTTGTTTGGTCACTATTCTGATAGGTAAAGGGTTTTGTAAAAGAAAACTATTTTGGTCCTTCTAAAAGTGAGGATATTTCAGTATAAGAATCTGTGTATGTTTCATATTCTGCAGATTACATATTCTTTGAGCAGTCCTACCATAAGACGTTGTGATAAAAAATGGGATAATATTATAACCGCAGAATATCTTTAATATATTTCACAATATTTAAAATGATTAAAACCCACATTTCCCTAAATGTCACCATACTTTTTTCTTTTTCTCACCACAGCTTAAAACCAAGAAGTTGGGGATTGAATCAGAGAGTGTCTTGGAGTCTCTAGCAGATAAAACAGAAGGTTTTACTGGAGCTGAATTGGAGAATATGATAATGAGGGTAAGCATGTACAAGATACCGTTTTTGTTATAATATGCAATATGACGAGTTACCAATTGTAAGGCAATCAGAAACCAATCAGAAATTGATGCATCTTAGCAAGATGCACTTGATAATATCTAACACTTCCTGGAATAAAAAACTATTTCATAATCATAAATATGACAAAATGGATTACCCTTGCAATTCATTAACTTACTCAGTTACAATAAGGCAATGTGATAATGTTGCATGAACTTACTGGCAATTAAAATAGTCATGTTAGCCAAGTAGTTACCTCTACTTGAATAAGTGTCTAGCTTGTAGGATATTGCTGGGGCAAGATACCAGACACTTCCATGAAAATAATTTGGCCTTTAAATGCCACTTGATTGACACTTGAACAAGATTTTAAAGCACATCAATTGATATGTAAAATCAAGATGGAAATAATATATTAAGTGGCATAACACTTGTCCTAAGTGATTTATAACCCAAAACTAAACAAGTGACCTATTCCAGGCAACCATAGCTGCGGTGAGGGAAGGCCAATACAACAAAGACACACAAATGGTACACCTGAGCAAGCAGCAGCTCTTACAGGCATGGCAGTCTTGCTCACCTGCTGTCACCCAAAGAGAAATATCTCGATTCAAAGATTTTGAAAGAAGGTTCTCAGTTGTGCAATGATTGAACAAATTTTAAATATATTTATTTTTGTTCAGGCTTTTTTAATAAGTCCTTCTATCTATTGATATTCTTGAAAAGTCAGTGAAACATTTGGAACAATATTTGACATTCATTATTTGTGAATAACTACAATTTTTTTTCAAGGGATAGGTCAAATCAGGCAATACATTCAAAAGCTTTATTAACAATATTTACAACTGTCCAAAACAGGATAGAAAAAAATTCATTTGCATAATTATGATATCTACATTTATCCAGCTAAACATGGACTGCACCATCATTTCTCCACCATCCTAAAACTCTTATGTTGTTCTCTAACAAGCCTCAAACAGGAATGTGTTTTCAATAAATGCTTGTGAATTCATTCAGTGTGAGTTATAATATGACTCAATTCATTTACTATTGTATTTCCCTTCCAAAGAGGCAAGAATGAATTTGACTTTATATTTCAGCATGCACTACCTCAAGTACAAATTTTTATGGGTACGTTTATTGGTTACAGAGACTACGCCACACATGAATTCTAAATATCCCCATAACTAGGATTAAGAAATCTCCTTTTCCTTCAAATCTGCAATAATATCGATCCCCAACACAGACGTTAACTTGGCACGATGTTCTGCACTGAGGGCAAGACTCGACCCAAGTTTTTTGGCCATGTCCGCGGCCTCTTGATGTCCTGCATCAACAGCATAGACCACTACCATCTGAGGAAGTGAGCAAAAGCATTATTGCAGAAGGCTATCATTACAAAGTGGGGAGCCATGACTGATAAAAATAAATGTGGATAATTAAAAGGAACTGATTAAAATTTAAAAGGATAACTTAATATAACTTGAATTTCTTTTCAAATGTCTCAATACTTACAAATATTCTGCCTAGTTTAGGTCTCTTCTCCAGTTGATAAAAGTAAGCAATAAAATGTATTTGCAGAAGAGCATTATTTGAGCATCATTATTTGGTATTTCCAAAAATCAATACAGGACTAACTTATGTGAAAAAAAGAAAGTGAGAGGGTGAGGGTGAGGGTGAGGGTGCGGGTGAGAGTGAGAGGGGGGGGGGAGGGGGGTGCGTGCGTGGGTTCGTGCGTGCATGCGTGCTTGTGTGGGTGCACATGACTATGTGTGTGCATGAGCGTGTACACATGAGTGTGTGTGTCCATAAGTGTGTGTATGTGTGAGTGTACACCTGAGTGTGTGGGTGCTCATGAGTGTATGTCTGCACGAGTATGTGTACATGAGTATGTGTGCGTGTGCATCAGTGAGTGTGCACAAGTGTGTGCTTCAGTGTTTGCATGTGGGTGTGCATATGCACATCCTCACCATCAAGATAAAAACAAAGACCTATGAAACCTGTAACACTTCTCCAACATTGAGAACAAAAGACTAAAAAATTAAATATTTCAAGCCCTTACCACCCCTGTGTTGGCTTCATTGTTCCTAACTGCTGCATCAAGAAGGGTCTGAAGAGAGTCCACAGTTGCAGAGCCAAGTACAATGTGCGGATCAGCACTAATTTTCTGCATCACCTCCACACCCTTGCTGTACTCTCCGCACCTGACCAGTGTAGTCAGCAAATCCCCAATCATAGGACCAGACCAAGTTATCTGAGGGAAACATTTTCATCAGAAAAATTGGCCACCTTTGCTTAAAAAGAAAATTATTTAACTAATGATATATATTTACTTATTACAACCAAAGGACCCTATACTAAATTTTATAAAGATTGAATCATTTTCACTTCTTAATTGTTGACCTATAAATAGGGTTAACAAAATTTCTCATATCTTATAATTTGATTTTAGGAAATGAGAACAAAAGTCTAGTTCAAAGAATTTTATCTGTAATGAAAAGTTGCTTTTGCAGGATAGACTCACATTTAGTTTAGTTTGAAGAAGTTTAGTATCCTATGATCCACTTTTGGGTCACTTCCTAGCTTAGTATTATTGTGATGTTATTGATGTTTGTAAATGTTTCAGATTTTTATTAGTTCATACATAAACTTTGCAGGAAAACTGCAAATCCTGAACTTTTTTTTTCTTGATATACAAAATTTAGTGGAAGATAAATATATATATATAAATTGGGAATTCTGATCAAACTTTTTGGGGGATGAATTTTGAGTCATGTAAGAAACTTTTTTTTTTTTTTTTTTTATCTGATACTGAAATCAGAGTATACAGGGTAAACTTCTTAGGTAGCTTACTTTTGATTTTCTTTAATAAGGCCCTTTAAAGCTGCAGACATACAAACCTATAAGTGAATTAAAGAACTTTTCTTCAGATTACACAACATGAGCAAATAAAGTCACAATTTTCATTGCAACTTAAGTCTCATAGACCTACCTTATTCCTTCGGTCTTCCTCCATTCGCTGCACCCTTGTCCATAAATCCCATGCAATTGTTGCCAGCTGCTGGGTGAGTTTAGTGTTGTCCTCCGAGGGTTGGTGGCAAGTCATAGCAGAGAGCACAGCCATGAGCAATTTCTCTCTTGAAGTGTGGTCAAAAACAATCATGTCTGACCACAGCTGGGGTAGGTACTCCAGTGCCTCATGAACTCTCAGTGCCTTTAGGAGTTCCTGAAATAATGTGCAGTTGAGGATGAAACAGATGCAGCCTCTTGAGTACACTGTCCTGTTTTATTGGTATGAAGCAATGGCTACATAAACATTTAATCTTAACTCCAGGTAGCCAGACACACATGCCATGGTACCAATAGCCATGTCTCCAGGTTGCATGTGTCTCATACCATGATTAAAACAACCTTACTAACAACTTGTCTATGTCATGAAAGGAGCAACATGCAGATTGTAATTTCTTTGCTCAAAGTGAATTTATACTATTGATAATGATGATAATGATACTTCTAATTATAATCTTACTTGCATTGTGATTATAGGCATGGTTTAACTGAAAACTGTAATCTTAGTGGACACTGGAAAATCATGTATATTCCAAATGTTCCTATCTTGCAACACCTAAGTTGCCAGATTCTCTAAATCTGATGTGACCTAAGTCTGAGAAATCATTCTCTTCCAGCTCTTGCTTCCTCTCTGGTACTGTACCCAAAGCTCCTACTTTGCCAGACATTACATGGGCCTTTATCTTTTACTTACCCTTAGCAATTTTGTTTCACATCTCATGTGACTAAAGTTAAGAGTAACTTGTCCTTGGATTGTGATCATCTATAGAGCAAATCTGACTCCAGCTGCAGTATTGAAAATGAGCTAAATTGTGTGCCCTGCACAACATGAGTCGAGATTTAAATGAACCTTTGTTTGTGGTGTAAACAGAGTGCCTACCAAATCACTTTGGTTTCTCGGGCTATGATGGGGTCATCATTCCCACATTTGGCCATTTTTTCCCCATTACCACAACTGCACTCAGATGAGCTTGTCTAAGAGACTAGTAGGAAGTTAACTTCACTCTCTTGGTCTCTTGCCTCTGTCATACCTGACCAATTGTACTCCACCATATGGTACAAGAGGTACTAAGAGGCAGGAAGACTTAGGTAGCCTTGTTAACAGAGTTCACACACATGCTCTGGCAGACAAATACCCATTAAAGAGGCTCAGGACCAGGGGCAGCACCATTCCTAAAGTATGACACCAGAGCACCTGTCTCCTGTGCAGCTCAAAACTCCAGCAAAAGAGAACAGATGTGAGGAAGATGCCTCTGGGCACTATATCCTCACAGTGTACCTCTTTATTGGTAAACTTATTTTGAGTACCTCCACATTCTTCCCATAAAACCACATTACTTCCTCTACACAGAATGTATACATAAATCAGTTAATAATACAGACCCTACACAACAAAAATCAATCTATTATAACCTTTATGTAGCATACTGACCCATTGCTGCCAGGAGCATATAATGTCCACTGTAATGGTCTTTACAATAGATGGCCCCATAAGCGCTCAGCCATCAAGTTGTCAATTAGGAGGGCTACATGACCTCACCTGTTTATTTATTTATTATTATTATGATTTTTTAATTGTGAAAGAGCCTACAAGCAATGTAATGAAAGCCTAGTATGAGGGAGTGCTCCTACATATTCAAACTGAAAGGACTATAGTAACTGATTCCTTGGTGATTTACCCAATGCTACACAGGAAAATGAATAAAAAATGGGAAAAATGCTGTGCTCATTTTTTATATTTTTAAAGAAATGTCTCTGCACATAGATGGCTCTGCTAGTGCTTAGTCTTACCTGATTTCACCTTTCCTTGAATTGGTGGAAAAAATGTATTTTTTACTAGTGCTATGAATATCGATGGTGTTATTTTTATTATAAACATTATAAACATTAGTAACAGCAAAATAAGATAACATAAAATATTTTTGTAAGTCAAAGAAAAAGGTAAATGGGCAAGACAGGCAGTACTTGTAATTGGCTCATTGGTGACTTAGTACAAGTGCAGCCATCTATGTGTAAAAATAATTAGACAAGTAAGCTCACAGTGGGCATGGCATATATATATATGGCATACGTGGAGCCATCTATATATAACTCAATCAATAAACTCAAATTTCAGTGGACATGGCATGTACATACATGCCAATCCCAGCAGCAATGGGTTGGATGACTAATACTGACCTTACAATATGGAAAAATAACAAAATCAAGTATCACACAAAAATCCACCAGAATTCTAATGAGAAAGCATATTTTGCTAACAGAGCACTGACTCATTGCATGATATGTGCAAAGGCTGAAAATAATACATGAGCTGTGTGCTCTTCGCATAAGCAATGTGTCATAAATTTTTTAAAGCAGCAACTTACAACCCAATTCAGGTACATATAAACAAAGGAATACAACTTCTACTAGTAATGGGAAGTAATCTACATAAAAACAAAGCTGAACAGACGTAATTCCTCACCTCCATAACACCAGGTTCTGGGGTATAAATATGAGGTACCAATTCATTATAAAGTTCCATTAACTGGTCTACAGTATCCGTGCTGCATGAGAGTGCAAAGTAGTGACGGCTGTAAAAAAAGAAAAAAAAAGAAAAAAAATATGTTATTCAAATACAACAGAACATTTTCCATCTGTGACATCTGATATCTCATCACTGAATAATCTGTAATGAAATAATTTGTAAATGAACAATCACTCTCAGTAAACAGATATCATAGCATGAATTGAGTTTTTTCATCTCTCCTAATTAGAGTAACTGATAAAGATCTTACCTCAGGATGTTATTCCTGAACTAATATATCAGCTAATGTGTATTGCAAGTACATCCGTCACAAACCAAGAATTACTATTACTAAGACAATCTATTAATGAAGTCAGCAAAATTTGTAAACAACAAAATATTCAGATACATGACATTATTCTAAACTAATTTTTTTGTCACAGATTCTGAATATGTGCCTGGAAACTGTCATAAATTTCTAATCAAACTAGCTGACACTGAGAAATTAATACCCACAAACATGACAAATATCTTCCATACATATTTTCCATTCAACCAATTTTTAAAACTTACTAATAAATAGATTCCTTGTAGGAGTCTCCAATCAGCATGTAGTTGTTTCCTGTGTGCAGGAGGTCATCTACACGCCTGGCTAGCTCCTTGCTCTGTTAAAAGGAATACCAAAGTCATTCCTCAAGCAAGTAAAAGAATATGCTCTCAACAAAAAACAAAGATCATAACATAGTTTATTTCAGTTATTTTGATTCAAGGATTAAAGAAACAGAAGAATATAAAATCTTTCACTTTATATGAATGTAACAAGAGAGAAAGAGAAAAAGCCAGGATATTCAGGGTACAAGAGAGAGAGAGAAAAAAAAAAAAAAAAATTCACTCACTTGCAGGTGGTTCCGACAGATATCCATTGCAGTGACAAAGAAAAACGTATCTTTGGGGTCCTGGATGCTGAACTCTTTATCTGCGATGTGGTTCATGATATCAACAAGAATATGACTTATGGGCCCACCTGCAATATATAAATAAAAAAAAAGATATATGATGAACAGACAGATGGATAGATAGAATGAACAGAGAGACTCATAGATGGAGGGAGGGAGACAGCTGGATGGATGGATGAATAGATGGTTCAACAGACAGATGGTTGAATGAATGAATGGATGGATGGACAGAGAGAGAGAGAGAGAGAGAGAGAGAGGAAGAGAGAGAGAGAGAGAGAGAGGAGAGAGATAGAGAGAGAGAGAGAGAGAGAGAGAGAGGGGGGGGGGGTTGGATGGGGGATAGAGGGGGAGAGAGGGGGAGAGGAGAGAGAGAGAGAGGGAGAGAGAGAGAGAGAGATAGAGAGAGAGAGAGAGAGAGAGGAGAGAGAAGAGAGAGAGAGAGAGTGAGAAAGAGAGAGAGTGGAGAGAGAGGGTGAGAAAGAGAGAGAGAGAGTGAGAAAGAGAGAGAATGATAGATAGATAGATAGATAGATAGATAGATAGATAGATAGATAGATAGATAGATAGATAGATAGATAGATAGATAGATAGATAGATAGATAGATAGATAGATAGATAGATAGATAGATAGATAGATAGATAGATAGATAGATAGATAGATAGATAGATAGATAGATAGATAGATAGATAGATAGATAGATAGATAGATAGATAGATAGATAGATAGATAGATAGATAGATAGATAGATAGATAGATAGATAGATAGATAGATAGATAGATAGATAGATAGATAGATAGATAGATAGATAGATAGATAGATAGATAGATAGATAGATAGATAGATAGATAGATAGATAGATAGATAGATAGATAGATAGATAGATAGATAGATAGATAGATAGATAGATAGATAGATAGATAGATAGATAGATAGATAGATAGATAGATAGATAGATAGATAGATAGATAGATAGATAGATAGATAGATAGATAGATAGATAGATAGATAGATAGATAGATAGAGAGAGAGTGAGAAAGAAAGAGAGAATGATAGATAGATAGATAGATAGATAGATAGACAGACAGTGAGACAGATTGACTGACCAACAGATGAATAGATGAACAGACAGAAAGGTAGTCTGATATAGAGTCTCACAATATACCTGTCAGAGAGAGTCCAGGGACACTCATATGGTCAGAAATGGTACCCTATCTGTATCAGAGTTCAAAATTCAACAAAGAGAAACTGACCTGCTTGGCAACTATACTCATCTCCCCCCTATACTTAAGCAAAGTTAGGCAGACACAGTTATATGTTAATAGATATTATTGGTTGAGATCACTCACGTTCTCTACAGTGTATGATGAGGAGGTAGTAGTAGGATGCTAGTGAGGGTTGGATTCCCAGCCTGTTAAACTCAGCCATGACCTGTAAGCTCAAGTTCTTTGTCTGCCTCCAGCTCGCTATCTGGCTCAGTGACTCCAGAGTGCTATTTAGGGTGCCTAGGTTTGGTTTCACACCTGCCTCTGCCATGGCTGTCAATATCTCCTGTTGAGTGTGGACAGGAAGGATTTGAATAACAGCTTAAAGTACCTCTAGAGACAATTAATACCTTATGTTTAGGAATGGCTCTAATAATTTATAGTTTATAGGAATTAAGTTATAATAAACTTAATCTATGCAGCAAATAAAACTATTAATCTTAAGAAAACTATCTCCTTTCTCTTTCTCTACTTAAACAAGACAAAGTGTACTTAATTTCCACAAAACTCAATGCAAATTCAATTTAAGAAATCATAATAGACTTAAATAATCAAAATAAATATAAAACAAATGAAGAGCTCTCCCTACCTTGACCAACTTCCAGCGTAGGTCTGAGCCTTCTCTCATGAAAGATGCAACTCGAATCAGGGAATTGTAGGTTTCTGTGTCCAGTTGGATCCCCTTTTCTAGTGTTTCTTGGTACAGCTGCCAAGCTCTGTCCACCTTAAGAATAACTGCCTTTATCAGTATGATATCATTTATCATCAATTTAGTACTATAATAAAAAAAGAATTACATGTTGCTTACATCTTACTTTACAAATATAAAATAAAAGGGAACTTTCAAGTAAAACATAAATTCACTGACTGATCATATCACTTAATGCAAAATCTAAATTCTAAATACAGTGCAGTAATTTTCATTACATTCGATATCTAATTTCAAGTAATTGTAGTATTTGTCAATACAAGCTTCCCTCTCCATTTCATCTCCAGTCAAATACTGAGAAGTTTATGTTTTTTCTTTAGAAAACTATTTTGAGAAGTGAAGAAAGACAAGAAAAATACACTACACCTGAACTGTTAAAATGAAACACAAAAAAAGATCCAGTTCATTACAAAGCAACACACAGCAAAAGAAGGACAAACCTACCTGGTAGTAACGTGTCATGCCCCGAATCAAAGCACAGTACGCAGGAGAACCTTGGTGACTTAGGGACTTGAATAGCTCCTCAGCTAACCCATGATCTCTGAAAATAATAAAAAAAAATAATATCAAATTGTGAAATTCAAGACTCAAGCTACTTTAGTAAAACTTCTATTTATGTGTCTTTCATTATCTCTGCATGTATCAGGATAATAATAATTTTTCAATAACAAACCATTCTGCTTATTAGGTCTGTCATGCTGTTCAATATTCTGAACATTATTGCTATCAACAGCCATGAACTGAACAATATCCAAATCCAATTTTATCAAATATATCTGAAATAAATGTAAGTGTGATAGTATATTTTAATTTGCTTATCTTCTCAATATATTTTTCAATACTAACTAACATCTTTATCCCTATTCTGACCAATGATTGCATATGATACTGAAAAATATGTAGCCATTATATAATTTTGCTGATTCTTCCAAAGAGACTGAAACTAATTTAGCTACATACAATATTCTTTGACAAAAATGTGAAAGAAACAGCTATAATTTTTGCAAAAGAAAAAAAAAATGTTAATTGCATCTACTTCTCTATTAATCTTTCTTTAAGTTTTGTAGCTTTTAACCTCCGTCAACACCTATCTTTCAAAACTGAGGCAAAATTCAAATTGTACCCAAAATCCTATTTTACACAATAATGGGATGTCTGTCAAAAACAGGTGGAATTTTTCCAGCATTTCTTTTCATTAAGAATAAGAATATGTAATATCCTCCAATATAACTTATCTAGCAGGTTTTCTTAACTACACCCATAATATCAACCCCCATTCCCTTACTCCCCATGTAGACCTTCTTCTGCTTGAACCAACGATAGAATTTCATTTTCCTGCCTTAATCTTATGTTTCTTGTGAATGAAACATGGTGAGTGAGAGGTAGTAGTTTCGTTGCTCTCCATACTCTAGATCTTTTCCTCCTCCTACATTCCCCTTGCACAGTACTTCCTAGTATATCTTTGCTTATACATCTTAATAATTATAGATATATATAAATACACATTTCATTGTTTTATTTGATAAAAAATAATTTTATATGCATTTCATCCATTTATTCATGGTCCTCTCTACCCCATTTTCATTCATGTACAAGGGGTATCTGTGATAACTTTGTCAATTTTTGCACTCTGCTGACAATCACTGCATTTGAGATATGACACTGAAATATACATTTTCTGGTGTGAAATATTGAGACCTTTAACCCTTTTCCGACGGGCATGGCATGTACATAAATGCCTTGCCCATTGTGAGTTTACTTGTTTAATTGTTTTTTCACACAGATGGCTACACTTGTACTAAATCACCAATGAGCCAATTACGAGTACCGCCTGTTTCACCTGTTAAACCCTTTTCATTAATTTACGAAAATATTTAATGTTATTTTATTTTGCTGTTACAAATGTTTATATTATAGTAATTATAATGTTTATAATAAGAATAACACCATCTATATTTATAGCACTAGTAAAAATAGGTTTTTTGCACCAATTCAAGGAAAGGTGAAATCCTTTATGGTTAAGTACTAGTAAAGCCATCTAGTAACAGGGACATTTCACAAAAATATAAAAAATGAGTACAGAATTTCCCGCATTTTTTATTCATTTTCCCCGTCGGTAAAGGGTTAAATGACAAAGACAGCTAACTGGTGTTAAGACAGTTAGCACAGCCAATCCTTTAATATTACTCTTTCTTATGTCTTACTACAACAGTCATTAAAGTTTATTGTTAAAAGAATACTTCACTGCTCTTTGTTAGTAAGCCTATTCCGCCCTGCTAAATAATGAGTTAAATTCATTGCTTGCCTGACTACTCAGACGTAAGCCATAGCTTTTATGGATTATCCTTAGCTACCTGTTAGAGTTCATTATTCTAGTTTAATTATCACAGTAGCATATTTGACAGTGTCCCTTTATTGTCACTATGCTCATTTTGCAGTGGTATGAGTTTGCCATTTAATTCAAATGGTCAAAAAGTCTTTCCACAGTCAGCTTTTCATTGAATACACATGATGTTTTATGATTGCCACTTCATAGTTAAATTTTGATGGCAAGGAGGAAAGAAGCTTTTCAAGACAAGAGAAATCTTGAATAGAGAATTGCAGTTCCACATTGCCAGAATAACTCTTTTTCTTTCTCCCGCCATCAAAACATAATAACTGCAAACTCAAGAGGAATACAACAGGCTAGAATCATAAGAGGCAAAACAGCCTGGCAACATCATCAAAAGAACCCCTTACTTCCATGTGTTCTTTACGCGGTCACGGGACATGATGCCCTGTCGGTACCAGCGTTCCTCCACCCAGTCCTCGTCCAAGGCATCCTCGCAATTATAGTACCCCAAGAACTCCAGTAGCTCCTGCTGCACACTGTCACTTAGCTCTAATGAAAAAAAAGTAGTTTGATTAGTCTAATGACTTTGTCTTGCCTTCTAGAATATACATGGATTCCAAACTAACCTATTTATTTACATACAACAAATCAAATTATTGAAACTGAAATTATATATTCCAGTTTATGTTTCAGTTTTTTGAAAAAGTTGAACTGAGGAATTACTTAATTGTGAATTTAAAAAATAAAATTATTATGAAAATGCTTCATAAGTTTTGTCATTAGTTCACTTTCTGAATATATAAATGCAACTTCAATCTCAACAAAAACAACCACAAACATACAAATACAAAAAATACATATTTTGAGCAAATCCATTTTCATGACAAGACAAATAAAACAATAATGAAAAAATATATAACTAAAAAAACACATACCAACTCCTTTTGTTTTGCAGATTTGGTATACTTGGATTGCATCAGACACCATACATTTCTGCATCAGTTCCCTTAGTGTATCCTCACTTACATCACTTTCATCATTGAAGGAAATCTTTGGATAAAATGCCTGCAAAATAACAAACACATATGGCTATCATTTGATTTATTGTATCTATACATATATATAACAAATTGAATACTGTCTTCAACATATAGAACAAATAACACTGAACAAAGAACAAACAGAAATGTTATTCATTAACAAGTCCTCACACCCACCTCAATGAATGGATCCTCAGGCCGGTGTGTGAAAAGATCTGAATGCTTGTCTCTTATCCAGCGTGCAGCCTTTCTTCCTGACTCCTTCGAGAGCGAAAAGGACCGCTTGGCCACATTGGAGGCGGGAGTGAGGTAAGGGTCATCGTGATACTTGTAATGGGGTCCTGAAGAATCCCTCCCCACGGTACTTGCCAGAGCCTGAGGAGAAGCACTTTATGATGAGAAAATCTCTTTGAATACAAAGAATTTCAGATAACAAGTGAGGATCTGGTCTAAAAACCTATAGCTGTTACATGAAATTTTGTAGATGAATTCAATGTCTTTGCTATATTTCACTGGGCTTGTTAAAGGTCAGAAATACATTTACAATCTTTATTAAAAAAAAAAAAGGGGGGGGGGGAATCTATCTGTATGTCCATATATTTGCTAAACAGATTCAATATATATACATATATAACAACTAAACAATTTAAACAGCTATCCCCGATATATAACAGAATACTTAATGCCAAAGAGCATCATACAACTTTCACAGGAAAACTACCTCAAGTATATCAGTTGATGACCTGGGAATTCTATTGGGAATAACAATTTTTTCGGTGCGG